TACATACATATATACTGTTGTGGTTTAATCCAATAAATAGCCCAAGTGTTACAGCCTTCCACATGGTCTCACACAGTACGGAACAACCCTTGGTCTAATTCAGGCACTGTCCTGGCTCTGCCCTGCAGCATGCCATCATGACAGCAGCTCTGTCTCGCCAAACAACTTGGACTGATCCCCATTGTGTGCCTATTACTCAACATAAAACAGACTTAGGCATATATTCATCACTGTTTCAGCTGAAACCAGGACAAAGACACACAAGACAATACACACAATCTATCCACTTGTAACTAGTTAAGTCCAGGAGCTTCCCTTCAAGTACTCAATACTGGCCCAGTTTCACTTCTCTTGGACAGGGTCAACAGAAAGGACTTAATTCCATATGCCTTCCCCTGCGCCAAGCCATTTCAGCAGTGTTCATATAGTGCACTTCAGAAATAAGGAGCTGAGTCAAAGCAAGGCTTAGTGGGCTTCTACTGAAAACAGATCACTGAAATGGTTCAGATTATGAAGGAGAAAAAAAAAAAACAAGCAAACAAACAAAAAACAAAACCAACACACACAAAAAAAAGAAACAAAGAGGCAGGAATTCCCAAATTTATCCTGGAGAAAACAAAGCACAAAACTACCACCTGAACTACCACATTTTAAAAACTACAAGACAAATATTCATTCAGAGTTCACTAGCAATAGAAAGAAGCAGCTCAGGAAAAATCTTACTGTGGACAGAAAAAACAGAGCCAAAAATACTAAAACACTTGTACTTCCTCTCTTGTTATATAGACTTCACTGTTAAATCTACTAAGCATTCTTGATCTGCAGTTAAAGCTAATTCTAATCTGAAAGTATATTTCAGTAGTGCTCTGATCTTCTACCTAGCGTAGTAATTCAGAGGAGGAAGGCAGAAGAGAAAGGAGCTCAATTTTCACATTTAGAGAAGAGGTGGGGTAAGGAAAATGTGAAAACTCCATGACTTGCAGTATGTAGAGCAATCCTGCAGGCATCACACACACTCCAACTCATTCATCACATGTATTTTGTAAAGCCTAACACAACATCTCAGCAGCATTTCAGCATTCCCTAAGTCATCACTTCTGTAAGCTTCTTTTAAACCAAACAAATACTGCTAGTTGGCTGAACGTCATTGTTTATCAGGCAAGGCACTCGAAATTGACAAATTATATATCAAAGATTCACAGCTCCTCGGTCAAGATCCTCCAAATGGAACAGCAATTTCCATGATATAACTGGAATTAGCAGAAACCTCTGGCATGAAAACACTAACCTGTCCTTTCAGCAATGGAAAATCCGACAATTCTAACATACGCTGGAGCTCAGAGAGAAATCTTTATCTCAAAATCAGGGAAATAAAGAAAAATGCATCGGTAGGAGTTTAATAACACTGATGAGATAGACAGAGAAGTGCAGCCGATGCGTTGCCCAGAACTTGAACTTTTCCTAAAAGAAATTACTCAGATTGTTGATGAAGACAACTTCTGAAAAGATAGTTTTAAGAGTAGAGCTAAACCAAATAATTTCACAGCAAAAACCTCTGGACACATTTCAGACTGATATCAGCATTCTACTACTACCTCTGATGACCATCAGCTCCATTCTGAAGTTACCTGACTTCCTGATACACTCTGGTATACCTTTTCCTTTCCAAATGCCTCCCAACTAGTGATTTGTTTTATTCATGTATTCATACAAAAACACTGAGTACAAAGATAAAGAGTTTGTTTATACGGCAGAGAAGTGGATTGCGTCAAAGTACCACAGAGAACGCACAAACGCCAGAACAAATACATTAATAAATACATTAAACATTAACAGATTTAAATGTGTTGTATTTTGGAACATAGGTTTCTAGTAAAACCAGAGCAAGACATTAATCAGACTGCAGTTTTGCAGTTATGAACTTGGTTTACGTTAGCCACCATCCAGATAAAAGCCAGGCAAGCATGCTATCCTTCAGTGCAGTAAAGATCTTAAACCAATAACTGGACACGGTTACAACAAGATCTAAGATCTAAGGTTACAATAAGATCTAAGAATTCCAACCTTTCATGGAAACGGTTTTGGCTGCACCTACCCTGAAAGAGCAGCGGGACTGACAGGCTGCAGGGATTGCTGCAGAGAGCAGGCTGCCACCTGGCAGCAGCACATCACAGCTGCAGCCCTGTGCTAACACGAGCTCACCTCTCGCAAGGGATGAAGGCTCCGTGTCACCAGAGGGTCAGCCTGGAAATGGTTTGATCCAAAAAAGCTCATTCTTTTGAGACGGTGACAGAAGTTCTACCAACTCCAGAACATCAATCACCAAGCATCTAGGCAAAGTTTCATAAACCAGATGCCAAACTGCTAGCCAAAATTTTGTCATCACTGCATAACAAATGATGGGATACCGCTCTGTGCTAAGTGGGATGGATCACACACACACCCCTCCCAGCGACTGACAGCACACCTCTGAGCAATGACTGCACCATCGTCTGGCCTTACTGCCACTGTGTCACCATACTTGTGCCACTGTGTCCAGCACTGTGGCCCTGGGCGTGCAGGAAAGGCTCTGTTCCCACTTATCATAGGGACCTGGAGCCCTTCACACAGCTCTGCCACTGAAGCTGAGGTTGGAGGAGGCTCACATTCACTATCTACAATTTATGGCTTGTAATACAGGGTTTACTCACTGGAAAGTAATGAACTTCAGTCAGCAGTAATTCTGCATGTGTATGAAAGTACACCAACACAAATTCAAATCCATGTGGTTCCCCTAAGATGCTGGGGAGAGGGAGAACAGAAAGAAAAGAACAAAAGTCCTGCAAGCAGCGCCAATGCATGGGTACCCCCTGTTGCATGCCTGCCCAGCAGGAAATCAGCACCACAACCCTCTCATAACCAAGGTTTATGGATCATTACTTAGTGCACAAGGACTCCTACTACCTGGAAGTATTTTAAGAAAACAGCACTGGTTAAAGATTAAAAGCAATAAGACACTGCTGATAATAGCACCTTCAGCATTCTCAGTCAAAACAAAACCCGGTTACAACATCTCAAGGAAGGAGCAGCACAACTTAATTTACATCTCTTAGCCGAGAGCAACGTTTTGTTTTGTAGGAACTGCCGCCCTCTGGAGCCTCAGCTGGCAGCAGGACCTCCCGCAGCTCTTAAGACAGGGAAAACGAGAGCAACCCGGCGGTACTGAGAGTCATGAAGTCAGATCGGCTTTACCTGGCTGGAGAGGAAGGTGGGAGCACAGCACACCTACCCACGAGTCTTCCATATCTCTCACCAGGCTGTTTGAAAGGCCATATCTTAGCAACGCGCTCGGACTAAGTGCCTATCATCGTGCTCTCCACGAAGAGAAGCAGCATCACCACTTTTGACACTTCTCCGTTAGTCAAACTTCGCTAACCCAGGCAGAGCATTCGTTCCAGTATCAGCCCGAGGATGCTGAAAGGGCTGCAGTAAAAACTGCATGCAGTTTCCACGGTTAAAATCCTAGTCTGACTGAGCCCTACAGCTGGACTAGTGCTGCACTAACCTTCACAACACGCATATTTACCTCCAATTAAGACTGTTCTGTTAGCTTCCGGGAATCGCAGCTTTCCAAATTTCCTTAAGGTTGCTGGAGGATACCGCGATACGGTTAACTTTTCAGTTTGGGGATATTTCCTTCAGCTGTAACCGTGCACACCCACACGAGCCCCTCCTGCCGACAGCAGCGGGATTTGAGGAAAGGCCCCCGGCGGAGCTGGGGGCCCTTCCTCAGACCCCGCTGCCCACAGGATGACTCTGGGCACACTGTCGCTGCACCAACCTCACGTCGCACGCTTAACGTCTGGAACGACACGGTAATGCCCAACAGCTGTCACTCCGCCGTTAGAGCGATCCTCGCAAAAAGAAAACCATTACCCGGGCTGTCTCCTGCGTGATTACAGAACGATAATGAGAACTCCGCACTTCAGAAAGTGCCAAAATAGGGTTACACCACAGATACGCGCCAGTCCACTTAAACACAGCGGCAACAGAAGCGCTTTGGGAGTTCAGACCAGGCTGCGGGCAGAAGATGTCCCGTAGTCCGTACAAACACCGCGCTCCGTCCCCGCTCTCCCGGCAGCACCTGGCCGAGAGCAGCGCTAGGGATGCCGACTCGGTTTTCCTCCTTCGCGGACACTTTCGGAGGAGAACACGGGCAGTGCCCGAGGAAGGGCCGTCCCGGCGGCTCTGCTCCGCCCGCCCCCCAGCTCCCCCTGCCGGCCCCCGACGCCCACCACCCCCGGGGCATTCGAGCTCCCAGAGACTGTCGCGAGAAAGGATGGAAGGTCCGGGAACGCTCCTCGCACCGTCCCGCGGGGAGAGGGACTGGGGGTGGTGTTACCTGGAGGCTCCGCTCCGCAGGTCAGCCCCGAGCCGCTGCCGCCGCGCCGTGCCCTGCTCCCGGCGCGGCGCCACCGCCTCACTCCGCCATGGCCGCAGCGCTCCGAGCCGCCCGCAGCGCTCGCTGCCACCAAGTTCGAGGCGCGGCAGCGCGCCCCGCCGCGGGGGCGGAGCGGCGGAGCCGGGGCGGCCGCGCGTCCCCGGCCCCGTCGGTGAGCGGCTGCCCGTCCCTCCCCCCTTCGGGCCGGCGGGGAAGTTGCAACTGGTTGAGCAGCTCCGAATGCGTGCTTGGGCTTTGGATGCTTGGTCTATTTTTGTTGGTTTTTGTTTGCTTGTTTATTTGTTTCTTTAAAAATTTATTTATTAATTAATTTTACTTACCACGGCCCAAAAAAAGCATGCCTTGGGGCTTCTCCTCCCGACCACAGCCGGGCCGCCCCAGTACAAGCACAGCCAATCCCGGCGGGCTGCAAGACGGAGGAAGGAGGAGGAGGAGGAGGAGGAGGAGGAGGAGAAGGGCGAGGGGCAGCCACGCGGAGCCGCGGGCGCGGCAGGTGGGGGATGGCCCAGGGGGCGGAGGGCAGCCGACACCGCCCAGAAGGCATCAGAGCTCCGGCTCGGAGCCGGAGCGTGACTCGAGCATCGCTGTGGAAGCCCGCGGCCGCCCCCTCCCGAGCTCGGAGCCGTCCCCTAAAGTTTATTTTTAGCCCCCGGAAAGCGCTATAAAGGTCCCGCCGAGCGAGCGGGACTGGGAGACGTGGCATCGTGCTGCCTGCAGGTACGTACCGGCGTCCCCGTTATGCTGCATGCCCGCCTGTGCCCATCTGCCTTAGAACCGTAGGTTGTTTCTGTTCGTCCATAGATTGCAATGAATTCCATCAAAGCTTTTCTTTTTTTTCTTTTTCCATCTTTTACGGCAGCATTTCCATGTTTCTGCTACAAAGCGCAGCACTGCCTTGTTTGCAGCACGACCTCCCTCTAGAAGGAGGAAAGCTCTGAGAGTTTATTAAAGCAAACAGAACCGTGGAGCTGATCCACGCTGGAGTAATCTTATGGAAATACGCTTTAATTAAAACAGCCGGAATCAAAACTTCACTGCACGCCAGCACACTGTGGAGCCAAATGGCCCCGAGCACCCAGCTCTGGGGAGAGCGTCACTTTGGCTGCGTGCAAAAGAAACTTCTTCAAGGAGAAATGTTAAGGAAAGTTTGTGATTACCATTAGAAATGAAGCCCAGGAATTTGCAGCGTTCTCACTGATTGTTTGTTGGGAATAATAATTAAAAATTAAAAAAATGAAAAGTTCTGAAGGGGGGAATTCTTTACTCATAGGGCAATGAGGTTCTGGCACAGCTGCCCATAGAAGCTGTGGTGCCCCATCCCTGGAAGCACTCAAGGCCAGGTTGGATGGGGCCTTAGACAGCTTGACCCGGTGGGTGGCAGCCCTGCCCATGGCATGGGGTTGGAACTGGGTGGGCTTTGAAGTCCCTTCCAACTCAAACCATTCTGTAATTCCATGATTCAAACTTTTTTTCCATTGCGTTCATGTAACCATGCAAGTAAAGGCCAGTGCTTTAGTTGTAACGCTGCTTCTCTGTAAGAGACATAATATTTTTATGGAGCAACATTTACCTATGAAATTTTGCTATCTCAATGCCCCATGTTTTGCTGCCTTTCTGTTCCTTGCTGCTACTGATTCTCAATCCCTCCTGGCAGCAGAACAGACTTGGGATGTAGAGCTGGCAGCTCACACAAGCCGTCAGGCAACATGGTTGGAAGAAGAAGGGCTGCACAGCACCTCCAGCCCTTGGCCAGTTTGGTGAGAAGCCAGGATTCAGCTGCTCCCTGTGGGGGCAGGATGTACGAGTGCTGGAAAGCAGCAGGAGTGAGGGGGACTTCCATCTGTTTAGGTAGAAAAGCCACAGTGTGAAGGAAGGTCTGTCTTCACACTGCCCGTCAGGAGTGCCTTGGATACATGGCTCTATTTCATTATTTAGAAAAACACTGTCAGATACTGTGAGCCTGAAGTTTAAGTCAGGTTAAAAAGAAGGAAGGGGGGGGGGGGAAGAAAAAGAAAAAGAAGGGAGAAGATAGCTTCAAAGTGAACCTTGAGCTGTGCTCTTTGCTCACGGTGAAAAACGTAGTTTGCTTCACGATTACAGAGTTCAAAGGTTTTATTTTATTGCCATCACATTTTGCTTTTTTCACTCCATTGAAAACACCAGTTGTTATTTTTTTCCATCACATCAATCTGCTGCTCCAGGAGAAACTCTCCTGATGGCCAGAAACTTTCTAGAGCACACCAGCAGGAGCACAGTGCATGCCAGCAAGCTCCCTTTCCTGAACTAGTTCTAAAGAACCCAACTTGGCGTCTTGACTTCACCTTGCATATGTGAGCTTGCTGCCAGTTCAATCACTGTTTCTTCCCTCTTTCCCACTGAAACTCAATAAAGCATTGGGGTGGTGCAAGTCCTCACCATTCCCACCTGCGTTCAACATGGTCATCCTCCAAGGCTGAATCCTCATGAGTCATATGTGTTTAAATGTCAGGGACTTGTGATGGTGTTATGCGCAAAAATATAGATAGCTTCTCTAACCCAGGAGAGCAGGCGACCCAGATGATTGAAATTTGCCATCCTCAGGTGGTTCCAGCAGGGCAAAGCTGTTACAAATCAGGACAAGCCATGCTGCAGCTGTGTATGCTGAGCAGTGCATTCTCTAGTAGCAGGCACTGCACAAGATCAGACTGAGCAAAATTTTATTTGTCTTAGCAAAAGGCACCAAGGCAATACTTACTTTAAATCATGGAGAAATAAATGTCAGAGTTGCAAACTCTTTTTTTTTTTTTTGTCAGATTGTCTCCCATTATGTGCTGCATCTAAAGGTTACACTGTTTGGTATCTGCAATATTTGTGAGTTAGGAACAGCAAGATTCTAAATTACTTGACTTTTGAGAGCTAGATGTGCTTCTGATGAGTTTCTATTTACTGTTTGTGATCAAAAGAAAGACTAAAGCAGTATTTCTTGTGATACTTGAATGATTAAGGTGCTTTATAACCAAAATAGTTTAATTTTATAAATGCTTAAGGTGATATTTTCAACACAACTACGTAACATAAGTAAATGTGTGCTTGCATTTATAAATGTGTTCCGTTAACTCATTTTGGTAATTGCCTCTTTCTTTTCATTATGGTCTCAGACAGATAAGATAGTTAAAGGAGTTGTTGTATGAGCATTAAATTAGGGCTGCCTAACTTGAAGTCCCTCAACGCAGTCAGATATCCGGTGAAAATGATGAATTCTGGGGTGCTGACTCATGTGATCTGAAAATGCCATCCATTTCCTGATTCACCTTCATGTCTTCTCTAGGAAAAGAAGAATGTTTACAATGAATACCTGCAGTCAAACAATGTTTTGTGTGCTTGTTTTTTTTTTTGTTTTTTTTTTTTTTTATCTTTCAGCCACTTCTCTGAACTGTTACCTTCAAAATGAAGAGAACAAAGAATGCCTTGGAAAAATCCAGTCGTAACATCTGAGGAATAGAAATAATAGGAAATACTTGTAAGGTCAGAATTTGGATGGAATTTATGGAAAGTTACAAAAGGCCCTATTACAGTTGAATCTAGATTTGGGAATTTTAATTTTATACTTAATAAAGATATCAGTGCATCTTTTCCTCTACTTTGGATGATAATGCATTCTGTTGTCTTTAGCCTTGCACAACTTTCTTATACCAACTAACGTACCTTCAGCTTAATTCTTTAGTTGTTAGACCTAAGACACCTCCTCACACCAAGCTAGAGCATGAATTTAATAAACCATTTGTTGTTCCTCTCTGTTTGATGGTCCATAATTAGAAATATTAGAGCCCTGCATTTCTAATCCCCAGCAGAACAAGTGGCATTTGAATAAAAGGTATACAACCTTATCCCTTATCACTTATGCCAAAAGTACATAATATCGAGCTCATGTGCACTTAAGGCTTTCTGTGCTAAGTAGAGGTGATATTTGGCCTAACTCCTACGTTTGTGGAATTAAAACATGATAATTTTTAGAAGAGTTCTTACTTAACCAATTGTGTAGACATCATACGTGGGCAATATTTATGTGACACTAATGTAGCATTAAGAGCCCTAAGACAAATTTTGTCCATGAAAACATACAAAACAGTCAGAGAGTGCCAGACAATGAGAAGTACTGTGTGAGAAGAGACAGTACCAACGGAAGTCTAATCCTAATGATATTTTCCTCTGTTGTCCATACACTCTGTTCAGTTGCCTGCTGAGAAAAACCTAGGTGGTATTATTTACAACTGATCTTTTTTGAGTTTACTTTCCTGATTTTAAATACTAAAACATGCACCTCAAAGTCTGTTTTTCTGTCTCGTTAATCTTAATTCATGGCAGAACAGACCAATAGTAGTGTAAGGAGGCGCCTATTTCATTCTAGGTTTGAAAGGAAACCCAAGAAGCAGCTCTCCAAAGTTGTTTTGTTGTTGTTGTTGTTTTGCATCCTGGCACTTCTGATTTAGTAGCTGCTCCTCCTGTCTGCGTTTGAGGTCAAACATTTAAGTGTTGAATAAATGTAAGGGAGGTTTCTCTACCAAGTGTCATTTACAAGAGCAGATGCTGCAGGCTGTGAATTAGGGATAGTGGATATTAGTCTCACATCATCTATTGACTGTTATTAATAACCTTGTTTACATCTAATCCCTGCCCCAAATCCCTCCCATATGGTACTCAAGTACCAATTTCTTATGTTTTCCAAAGGTCACGTATCATCAGCACCAAGAAAAGACCACAGGTCCTCTGACACAGCACCACCACTGTGCAAAATCTGTGTTGAGTTAAACTCTCTACAGACATACTTTCAGCTTTTATGCTGTGCTTTGTCCCAAAGTGGTACTCAGAACAAAGGCATTCCATTTCCTAAGCAGCTGAAAACTTAGCTAGCAAAGTAAAGTGCACTTATTCATTGCAGGCAGTCCATTTAAATATGCACAGCTATCTTCTATGTGTTTCTTCCATTTAAATAATCTGCATAAATCAGCCTGCATCGTAGCTTTGTCAGCTGCTGATCTGCAACAATGAGAGGAAGTAGAAAGCAATAGAATTAATATCCACTGGGTGATCGTAGTTCTGGCCTAACGTTGGAGTGTTTGACTAATTGATTGCCCTTAGCACTCTGCTAACAACAGATGTATGGTATGAGTTAAATTATTAAATTTACATTGCTCTTATTGCTTTCCCTGAATAGCCTGAAACAGTTGTCATTATTGAAATTATTTAAATCAGAAACATTGTATTCAAAAATGTTTTAATTGATTTTCTTAATTTTTGTTAATAAAAACTGCTCTATTAAAAGTACTGTGGGATAATGATTTGTAGTTTTGGCTGGACACTTGAAAACATGAAGGGGATTATGCAGGAGCAGAACACCTACCACAGTTATCTCCAAGAACTCAGAATCTGATTCTCCACACTCAAAGTTCCAGAAAATAAGCCTCCTTCCAAAAGGCTTGGCAGGAGGAGGGATGTTCAGACATACTGGCAAAGAGCAAGAGCTTTTGTTTCTTTGTAGTTACACAAACTCCACTGAACCATAATTTTATTTTCTTTTTTCTACATAATGAAACTTGGAGTTCATAAAAGATCAGGTTAAGGTAAAGAAACTGAAATTAGTGTTAACTGTGTAAGACTATCATCATGCTTTAAATAATACCAGAAGATATCAAAAGGAGACCAAAACTACAATGTCTACCTCTTATCTCCAATGGACATCCTCATTCAGAGAGAATAGTGTGTGCAGTGACCTTTTAAAACAAAATACAATTGGTCACAATTACTTCTTTTATCAGATATACGTTCACAAAGACTTTAAAGGTGGAAGTTTTTGAAGTAGTACAATTACTATGCATGACAAAACCATAAATGAAATACTTTGCATAAAAATGTCAGCTGTGGACAGACAGTCTAATTAAAAAGACAATATGAAGCAAGCAAGAAATAAATAGGAGCTATATTGCTAGTGCTAGTGTTATGCTAGTGCTAGTGTTATTCTGATAATCAATTCCTTCTGATACCAAGAAGAGTGTTATTAATAGGACTCTGTCAACAAGTAGGGGAAAAAATCTTGTATTATCTCAACAAAAACAAGAGTCAAAAATTAACAATTCAACCCAAAGCCTCCATGCTTGCCAACATACACAACTTTTCTCAAAAATGGGCCATGTATTATGCTCAAATGACACAGGAACTTAGACCACAAGATGGGAACTAATTCTGAAGTTAAGGACTATTCCTGAAGAAAAGTCTTCCCAAAGCCATTCATTTTGATCACTTAGTAAATGTAGACACCCAGTGCAAAGAAACAACATGATGATTCTGAAGTATGTATGTATAAGAGAAAAACAGACAGCCACTGGGCATTATAGATGACTGGCAGCTTCTGGTTGGAGCATCATCAATCATCTAGTAAAAAATCTTTGCATGAAGTTGTGTGTTTTCTCCATGACACTGAAGTAAATGCAATATCATAACCACTGCATGGGGAAACAGGCAGCTTCATGTGAAGATCTGTTAAAGCCTGCATTTCCAAAGCTGTCATATATCCAAATGGTGAAAGATCCTCCTGCTTTCAGTACATGATATACTATACTCCTATATTCCTTCATCCATAAGGTTCTTGCTGACTTCCCGCCCTTCTAACCTTTGATATGAGTTTGGCCAACCACTAGACACTGCTTGATTATGGACCAGTGACACCCAGATACCACGCACACTGCCTCTATGAGTCTGGTCTGGGGCAAAAATGTGGTCTGTAGCCCAGATAGAACCACAGGTTCAGGGATTTCAAAGCTCATTGGAGCTTGACTGAAAGCAAATTATCATTTTTTGCATCCAGGATAAAAATTGCTGATTTTTAAAATCCAAGCACTATTTTTATAAAGCAATTTCTTTGCTGTTTTTCTTTCTTTTTGTTTGTTTGCTTTCTGTTGTTGTTAATTTCATAAATCAGTTTTCTGAAATCAGAACAACAAAGCAAATATCTGCATGTATACCCAAAATATAATGAGAAAAAAAAAGGCAAATAGTTACAATCTGTCACCATCGTTAATCTCCCTGATTCTCCTTCTGATTTGTAATGCACCATTGTAAAATGGTGAGGTCACCAAAGCCAGGATTTGCATATAGCATACTCTCATATAAATAACCTTTTTTAAAGGTAAGTGGTGTCAGTGGTCACTCTTGAAGGAGCAAAGCATGGAGCAGCTCCCAAACACAGATGGACAATTTTGCTGCCTTTTTGCTGGTTCAGGAAGTTCAGAATAGGAACTCAGGTTGGGTCAGTATTCACTATTGGTTTTCTCAACTATTCAAATTGTTAGGGTTTTTCTTTTTGTTAGAGAGGGAATAGATGTGCTACAACTTGAGGCAAAAAGCACGAATGGGAACAGTTTTTTGTAACCATTTGCTTTCTATCTGCTGCTGTGACCAAAAGAAATGTGAACTGGCAGAGTACTGCTGTTAATATAATTCTATTTTGCAACAGCTGAGGAAATGACAAAATTAAAATAACTTCCAAATACCTGTATTGAACGTTTAATGGCTGAAGTTCCCAGGGTCAGCAGGCATGGAAATGAAATGGGGAATGTCTAAGCATTCTTTACAGCAGATTTCCAGGAAGAGCCTTGCAAATGACTAACTCAACAGGGTTTTTCTTCCTTGCTAGATGCAATAAAAGCATCTAAAAACATTTTGAAGTTTTGGTTAAGGGCAAATATTTGGCAGAGATTGTTCTGACTTCTCTGGGAGAGAGAACAGGTTGTATCATTTCTTAGTTGATGCTACCAAAAGTCTTTTAAGGTAATGAAATGCCTTTTATTTTCTTAATCACTAGTAAGATCTGCAATTAGGGGAAAATCATAGGTACAGTAAATAAATAAAGCTCAAAGCCTCCACTGTATTCAGTGACAACTTGAAGTACATTGCAAGTCTTAAAAGTGACACAGTGTGAGAAAGTACCTTCTAAGACTGAAGCAATTACATTCTGCTTGGAATTCTTTACGAAGAAACTGACAAAACAAAATTCAAATGCATTCTGCATATAGCAGAAATGACAAAAGAAAACAGAATGGAAAGACTTAAAGGGTGGCAAAATACTCTGGATTTGTTAGCTGGGATGCAGAATTTGCTCATCTAATTTAAAACGATAGCTTTCCTTTCAGTTTTAGCATTCATATCACTTATTCAAAAATACAGATAAATAACATACAGTCTATGTTCAATAACTATGCTACATCTAAAGTACAGTTGTTTGTCGGGTTTTTTATTTTTTTTTTAATTTATTTAAGAGAACCATAATACTGGTTACCACTGAGACTTCATTGTCATCTATAAACATCATGCCCCAGGAAACCAGAGAAGAGTTGATATCTCTGTGCCATTTACATAGCGGTTAGCACAACAGGACTCTGGTTTGGCTTGGATCTATCACCAGGTGTTGCTGTTACATATATATAACAAAAATGATAACAGTCCTTATGTTTGATAGAAAGTTGCACACTGTGATTATCCGGGAACGTTGTTAAAGATAAACTCTTCAAATGAGAAGTGATGAGAAAAAGCCATCAGTGTTCTGATAGTAAGGATATATAGAGAGATCTGAAAGTTCTACACCACCACCAGGACGTAGGAATGGAATACCTAACTAAATCTAGCTAAAATGTCCTTAAGGGTACATTTGGCTCCTCAGAAATTAACTACCTGACAAACATGTCTTTTCTTGGTATTTAGTTTCTCCTTTGTCTTTCAGCTCCCTTCCCCATAACTGAAAATAGAGCGCTGAAGGAATGAACAAGTCCTACTCATTTATTTGCGTTTCTCTTAGTGAGGTTATAAATGAAAACACATTTGACTAAGTCCTGTGGAAAATGTAATTTGTTATGTCACAGAAATTGCTCAGCATGTGTGCAGCTGGGTTTGATGATACCAGACCCTGCTTGTTATAAGATCAATAGCAATGGCCTCAAGGAAAGAAGAACAGATGAAGAAAGGCTGACGGCTTGCAGGCTCAAACTGGTTTGGGTCATCAGGAGCTAAAAGGGAAATGTTTTAACTTGCGAATGAATTACTCTCTCAACACAAGGACCAAGAAGCAGAGGCCAAATGCACATCTCCTGCCTCATTTCAAAAACTTCCTATGTCTTTTATCAAAGTCTTTCTGATTACTACAGAAAGAGGAGGAGGAAATATTGTGCTATGTATCACTATATATCACTTAAAACACTTCTAAAAAGAGCGAGCGTGTAAGTGGTATTAAATACAGTATTTGCAATAGAGTTTGCCATAGGCCAGCTTAAATTCCACCATTTAAATGAAGCAGTACACCACTTCTGAAAATCTATCAATGTCCCATTTTTTTGTGTTAGTTCAATTCAAAATGATCTAATTAGAAATGCTTTATCTTGGAAAAATCCAAGAGCCCTGCACAAGCAGCTGGGCCAAAACAGGAGAACTTTTATCCCTCCAAATACTCACTACTGCCAGCTTAATGCTTGAAGTGTTGTAGCAGAAGTACTACAATTCCAATGCAAACAAGGCTGATTTACTTGAGATCTCATCGAGGTGTCAGCCACTACAGCTGGACCGAGAGCTCTGACTGCTCCATTGCTCCCCAAAAATCACTTTCCTCTAAACACTGAGTGAACAAGAATGCAACAAACTGCAAGTATTAATTACAGAGGTCAAAATTAAAAAAGATTCATAACTCTTTGCAAATCTTCTCCTGATTTTGCCCTATAGCTGCTGGCGGGGCTGCAGACGGGCTGTAGGCTAAGCTCAGCTCAGCTCCACAGTAGAAAGACAAGAACAAAAAAAGGAAAATCAAAAATCCTTTGCAGTGTATGTTCACTGGTGTGAGTATTCACTTCTATTTAGTGTTTAGGGCTGAAGGATTACTTGGTAAGAAGGAAAAAAAAAAAAAAAAAAAAAAAAAAAAACAGGGTTTAAAATTAAACAAATAAATAAAAATAAAAAAAAAAAAAAAAAAAAAAAAAAAAAAAAGGGGGAACAGAGATTAAAAGCAAGCAGATGAAGAAAAGCTTCAAGATACAAAAACAGCAAAAGGTAAGGAGAATGTGAAAATACAAAAATATTATTTTTCACCGCAGAAACAAACAGAATAATAAAATCTTTTATCAGTACCATGAAATCCACCTGTCCTATCCTCAAAAATATTCAGTTAGCCCATCACTCAAAGCTCTCAGATTCTCTAGTGTAAGAGACAAAATTTTAAGGCAACAGACCATGTTGTTTATGTATCCTGCTTCTGGTGCTCACCAGTATCAAATGCTTGAGGAAGAGTTTAAGAAGTCAAACA